GTTATACTAAGCGCCTACTATTTTAAACAGCTTAAAAATATCTAAAAATAGAGTACAAAACACTGCTTAAAAAGACTAGCCTTACACTACATATATCTACTAAGACTACTTATTATATACTTAAAAAGTTTAATCTTACTAACTTTTACTATAAGCGTAGACCTAAGATTAACTACGCTACAGTAGGCAGAAGGCGCGCGTAGGATAAAGCATAGCAGCGCTTTAACTAAAAGAGACAGACAATGCGCTTCTTTAATAAGTGCTTTATTAAAAAAGGCTTTAGTACTAACTAAAAGTAGTGCTTTTACTATTTTATAAAGAAGTAAAGGTATAAGATAATAAAGAAGCATTCTACAGCTTAGCAGCCTACACAGATAGTGCAGGCGTCTATCTAGATTAATTATAGACAGAGGGTATGTTAGAGCCTTTTTATAATTATAAAGAGAGACTCTGCTGCTCCCTACTACAGCTACTTAGCTAAGAGCTACATCTAAGCGCTTAAGAAAGGTCTCCTGCGTAACTACTAAAGAGAAGATCTATTCTAGCAGGATAACACGTGTATACACACAGCAAGAGTAACGCGTAAATAGTTGTAGAGGCACTATATTAATGTTATTAATTTTCCCTTTTACTCTCTAAACCTTAACTCTATTAAACATATATAGTAGGCGCTAAGAAGGACACTTTATAGGCTGCACTTTAAAATAGCTACAATAGGCAACTTTGTAGAGAAGTAGGATTAGTTCTGTGCAGCATTAAAGAAGGCATAGTAGAAAATACTTAATTCTCTAATTAAGAAGCTTATCTTTTTAATGCTGCGCTGTCTATAAGCTCTGCAATAAGCGCATAGCTACTAGACAAAGTATTAGAATAATGCAATTAAAATAAGCTATTAATTATGCTTATGCAACTATTTAGAGTGGCTATATAATTAATTAAATAGAGGGGGCAGATGTTTAGTAGGGCTCGCTAAATGCTGCCCGGAACAGACTTTTGTCCTAGTACTGTAATTTAATATAATAGTATATAAAAATTATAACTTAACCTAAATTAAATATATCTTAGACTTAAACATAGTTAAATAAATAATTAATGTAATATTATTAATAACGCTGTTACTAGTAAAAGTAAGTTTTCTAATATAATGTAACAGCGTAGGCATAACAATAGGTCTAAATCTAGTATAAATCTACTTAGAGGCATATAGGAGTACGTAGGGACTTAGTAACCTAGAAATATCATTAACACTTATAGGCCTTGTACAAAGGATATTAGAAAACTACTAACCTAGCTAAGCGGAGAGGTGCGACTAAATACTTAAGGGGAATAGGGGTACTGCAGCGGTCAGGGCCGGGTCGGAGCCGATACGAGGAACCTTTGGATACAAGGTTCGCTCAGTAACCTTGAATGGAACAATTCAAGCGAATCGTTACAAGATAAGGCCATACTAGCCCGTTCTAGAACATCTAGCCTTATATTTGCGGCTTATAATCCAGCTGTTAAAACATCTATAACTTTAAAACCTATACAGAACATATTTACTAAATGTAAATGACTATAAAATAACATTAGCTTAACTCTAGAGGTGTTACAAATAATAATTCAATTAGAACCCTAGATATCGCTACTCTCTTTAATAGGATAACTCCTGCGTTGACCGAAGACGCCTAGAGCTAAGTGAGTCTATATAGGACAATGACGATCTTGGCTATGAAGCCTATCACAACCTAGATACATAACCTGTCTTAGAATGCTTAGCCATCTCTCGCAGAGCAGGATATTGTAACGGCGCAGGGAAGACAACAGGTCTGAATGCGGTGTGAATCCACTCAGAGGCGTATGGGAGTGCGTGGGGACTAAGAAACCTGGGAGTTCCATTGACACCTATAGGCCTTGTACAAGAGGATATCAGAAAACTACTAAGCTAGCTAAGGGGAGAGGTGCGACTAAATACTTAGGGGAATAGGGGGTACAGCAGGGGCCAGGGCAAGATCGAGGCAGATACGAGGAACCTTCGGATTTCGGTTCGTCGGGTAAACTTTGAATGGAACGATTCATGCGAATCGTTACAGATATCAACTCTGCACAGAGCTGAAATTAAAGAACCCCAGAGCAACTTAAAGTATATAGTCTATGAAAATTGCTGTTTAAGCAATTTGGTAGTATTACATATCACTTATCTATTGCTATTTATTTCTATTGATCCACCTAGTAAACAGTCTTTGTACTTTCCACCACGCAACAGCCCCCGCATCTGTATGAAAGCTACGACGCTTTTTTCCTCGCTCATACTCCTGAAAGCATTCCATTGGGCTTCTGCGTCATCCACGGTGGCCACCCAACTTTTCTGTGTGGCAAAGATCACATTTTCAGTTGAGAGCATCGTCGAGGCTCAATAACTATCAAAACTGACATGAGACCTACACAGACGCCTGCAGTTGCCCTCAAAAAGATATCTCAAAGAACTTCTTAGTATCCTCTCCCCAGTCTTCAATTTATCTCAACTTTGTGCTGCTTCTTCATCAAAGTTCCTATTCGCCCAGCCACTCACGAGTAGCAGACATTGGAAAGCTATCAATACCTAGGCTTTGGCCATACAGTGTACAGCGATCTAAAAATATTTCAAGGAAGTGCAATCTATCAGTTCCGAACATGCGTGTTGCGATTCGCGATGTAATGGGAAAAGTGGAGTTAAATTTACATGACCTTCGTACACTTGTCGTCAATAATATGCGCCTTGATTGATGATAGCATCTTCACCTGTGTCGTGAAGTCGAATACCTGTTCTACTTTGACCCTTGATACTATGGGCGATTCCAGTTGTTCGAAGTCTAGCCGCGTTTTCTTAAGTATAGATTTTACTACAAGTGTATGTCTTGCATGAGCTGAGAAGGGGTCATATGGTAAGCGAGTCGACAAGGTAGTGAGATCCAAACAAAGTGGATTGTACAAGTGTATTGTAAGGTCTAAGGAGCTCGAGAGAGCTCTGGGCTGACTATATACTGTACGAGAAAGGAACTAGTCCTAATGAGTGAATAGTGCAGTACGTGGGTATGGTATCGCGTGAAACACGTGCGACAGTATGTTCTCATTCTTGTTCAATTTCCGTCAGGGAGCATTTGATATTAAAACTACCCTTTGCACATACGCATTACAGCAGCGCTAAATGACTCCGTGTACACTCGAAGGCTTGTAACTAGGGCCTCTTTACAATATAGTCGAGCCGGATCCGAATCACCTCCAGATCATTGCACTTAACTAATAACGTGTTTCCCTGCCATATTTGAAGGCGTACGCCTGCTACTACATCGCCAGCACATGACCAGAGGCACTATTGTGCAGAGAAAGTGCCGGTTACCCTTAGGAAGGTGCAATCTTGGTACGATTCTCCCTCAAAATTCTCAATCCCTTCACTTCCGAGGGGGTCGGAACGTTCGAGGCATAGAACAAGTGTACGATAATGCTTTGTTCTCTCTTTCGTGCTATACTTTGTCATTCTTCGACTTTTTCCTTCATGTTCGATCCTTTGCTTTGGGCAGTTAGTTCCGTCCAAGTGTGTGTTGCGGCTACTAACTTAGTTACAGATCTGCTTCCCTTGACGCCATTGCCACACATGTTGTTTGAGTCATTTTCTCACAGAGAAGTCACGATGAAAGCAGCTCTGAAGCAAAAAGGGCGCCACCTCCCCATCCCCCTTTCTCTCCTTTGCCACATTGTAAAAGCTCCGACTCACATCTAATGACGACTTACACATTCTCACAAGTCCGGCATTTGAATTTAGTTGGCCTGCGCTGTTAAGGACCTATGGATTCATGCACCTCGTTGAACAACCACACATATACCGACAGTCTAGGAAGAAGCGCTTGGTAGCTACTGGTATGGAATTAAGTACTAATTAGCAAGGTAGGCTGATAGCAGGTTAAATAGAAGTCTGCATCAAATGAAAGTAGTAAGAGGAGCTCTATGGTATAAAAGCGGGCGAGTAAAGACGGGGTTTTGATGGAGGGCAAATGAATGTACGCGCTGGGCTTCTCTGGGTGCAGACGAGGCGGTCATTATTTTAGCGAGACGGCTATGGCGTAGAAAGCGTTGACAATATACTGAGAGGGTGAATGTGGGTCTATTTTAGGGATAGTGAGGCACAACCAAAACCCTGAACGAGCACAAGACAATTCCCAAGCTATACTAAGACAAAGTCTAGGTGTAAGTCTGGGTACTTCTATATACTAATAACTTGCTGGGAAAGGCGACTAGCGCGGCTTGGTTCGTATTAAAGCCGAGTTTCGGTTGGAAACATCTGTTCGGCTGGGGGGGTCGAGACCAGGTCGGATGAAACCACGCGAAGTCCTTGCAAAGGCTACCTGGTAGGGATGCTTGGGGGGTTACAAGGATCTAGGAAGCATAAAACTAGACAGCATTGGGCGGTACAGGAGCTTAGCTAATAAGATTGCAAGGGTGAAACTTGGCATTTCAAGTGCAAATGACTTCAAAAGCCGTGATAGAAAGTCTCTAGAAAGTGAGCCAAAAGTCCCCGGACATAGAGCTACTCTGGTAATCTGAAGAGCTATTCCCCGTTACCATGTTACCGAGGACATGTCGCTTTGTTTTCTAGACTTCACGACACATGTTTCAATCGTCAAGTCAGGAGTAAGTTAACGTTAAGAGCAGAGGAAAGATATCGACTCGATATCTCTGGAGCAACCATAACAAGCCACCTTCGGCAGATTGCTGAAGATACCCGGGACGCGGAAAGCCTTGTTAGCTTCTTCCAGTGCCTCGGCTAGATCCGGCCACGAGATGATGAAGCACTCTAGTGACCCGAACCTACCCGGCCTAGATACCTTGCGCAGTTGTGGGGTGGCGGATCCAGCCTCGCGGATGCAGCCCAAAAATCCGCATCACTACAACAGGAAAGCGCAACCGGTCCCATTGAACTCCCGCATAAACCTCGCACTCGTATTATGCTTAATGAAAGATGGAAATACGCATGAAAGGCTGTTCTAGGATACCGTCTTCTTTCGAGCCTCAGCGGCCTGCATCTCAAGGTCCTCAGATTCCATTAACCGTCCTTGCTTCTTATACGTAGCTGCCAGGTGCTCCATGCTAGCAAGCGAATGGTGATGCTCCATACCTAGCACTCTGATCCGGATCGCTAATACTTGTAACCCAAGCTCCTCGGCCTTGCTCAACTGCTCATTATCAAGATAAATCGATGCCAGATTGGTCATGCTGGTCAATGTATGATGATGTTCTGGGCCTAGGACCTTTTTGCGCAACTCCATCACCTGCAAACCAAGCTCCTCTGCCTCCGTCAATCGGCCTTGACTATAGTATGTCGATGAGAGATGAGCCATGCTCGTCAAAGTTGAGAAGTGCTCCGGGCCCAGCAGGGCCTTGCGGGCCGCTACTACTTGCGCCTGGAGCGCTTCGGCTTCGTCTAATCGGCCTTGATTGTGGTAGCTAACTCCTAGGTTGCTCATACCGCTAAGCGTTTGCGGATGATTTTTTCCTAACACTCTTATACGAACATTCATTACGTGGACTAGCAACTCTTCGGCGTCTTTGTACCGGCCCTGATTGTTATACGTGTGTGCTAGGTTGCCAACACTAAGGAGAGTGTCAGGATGCTCGATACCGAGCACCTTCTTGCGCGCGCTTATTACCTGCTTGCCAAGCTCTTCAGCCTTCTTCCACCAACCTTGACAGTTGCACAGATACACCAAATTGCTCATGCTAACGAGAGTGTCCGGGTGTTCGTCGCCGAGAACGCGCGTCCGAAGTTCCATTGTTTGCAGCTCGAGCTCTTCTGCTTCCTTCCACTGCGACAGATCGCTACACGTCATGGCCAGGTGGCTCATGGTAGTCAGTGTCTCAGGATCCTCTTCGCCGAGGACCCGCTTCTGAGCCTCTACCGCCCTTAGCCCGAGTACCTTGGACTCTTGGAACCGGCTTTGTGCATGGTATGTCAAAGCCAGCTTCGCGATGCTCTTTAGCGTGTCTGGATGCTCCACTCCAAGCACATTTGTCCGAAACTTCATCACTTCCCGAAAAAAAGTCTCTGCCTCGTCGAACTGGCCGTCGCTGTAATAACACATTGCAATTTTCCATTCCAAGTCGACCCTCTTGGCATCGTCCTTTGCAATGAGCTTCGACTCCAAGGCATAACGTGCGTGAGGAAGATACATTCTCCACACGGCCCTGTTCGTGTGTGCGTGGCCCGGAAATACCTCTTCTAATCGCGCGACGGCTCTGCGAGTCCACTCAGCAAGCACTCCTTCATTCCGAAGCCAGTTCCGAACTGTGAGGTGCACAAGTCGATGTAAGTCAAGTGCCAAGTCTTCTGAGCGTCTGGTGATGAATGAGTAGGCGCTCAGTGTCCCAATTGAATCCATCTCCTTCTTTCGCGATGGCCCTGGTGGAAGGAGAAGCTGAGGAACGTCTTTATGGTTAATGCAAGCCATGAAAGACATGTATTCTGCTGCAAGAGGGTCGTGTTGTTGAATTTGCCGGAATGAGATCAGCCAGGTCGTGGCCACTGGGTTTTTCATGTCGGAATATCTCGCATCATCCTCGAATTCTTCGGTGAGGAGCTCAATAGCCTCTTGCTCTTGGCAACCCACGAGCACCAGATAATCCGCCAGGCTAATCCCATTCTCGTTGATGTATGCGGCTGCCTGAGCGATAGCCAGTGGGAGATAGGTAAGCCATGCAAGCATCGCTTTCGTATCCGCAGGTCTGGAATCAACAAGATCCTTGTGTATTAAAAGGTTCCGCAGCATCCGTGTAGCTGTGTCTTCAGTCATCTGAGGCACTTCAATCACATTCTGCTGGGCGAGCTTCACCGCGGCCTTCCTGTCTCGCGTCGTGAATATGACCCGTCCATTCTTGCTCCGGGGAATGTAATCGATCAACCGGGTAGATTGATGAGCTGCGGAGTTTGGTTTGTCGATCCACATGTTGATATCGTCGGCGTTATCAAAGACCAAGACCCAATGGCCTGCGCCGTCTCTACTTAGGAAGTCCTGCACAACTTTTTTAATGTCCGTGTCTTCGCCCCCCAAACTTCGAATTCCAAATTGCCGAGCAACAACATGGTATCCTTGATCCAGACTCTCCATGCTAGTAGCTTGAATCCAAATGGCCGAGAAATGCTCGTGCTTCTCCCTAAGACGATAGAGGAACTCCAGCACAAGCTGCGTCTTACCCACTCCTCCGAGACCAGAGATTGCAGTTTTGGTGAATTGATTGTTAGTGAAGAGCATGTTTTGAAGTTCGGCAAGCTCAGACTCACGATCGGTGAAACGAATATTTCTTTCAAACGGCACAAGCCACTGACTGAGTGGGTGCTGGAGGTCTGGATTCTTGTCGGTAATGGGTTTTTTTGAATGCATCTCGATCTCAGATTGGAGGCGACGAAGCGCGTGGTGTTCTCCTTCGCCATAGATTGCCGGCATGTGGACGCCGAAAATGCCAAGCAGAGAATACACCTTATCTTCCTCGAGTGTGGTCTCTCTATTTGTCCTCCAGGACATCCTCTCGTCAACAGTAAAGTAAGAAAGAGGATTTCCTCGAAGAGCGGAGATGGGGATTCTCGTAATTTCGGAAATTTGTTTTTCCAACGATTTCTTAGAACCAAGGAGTTTTCCTTCACGAGAAAAGAATTCAACCGAAGGAGGAGCAAGAAGCTCTTGAAGAGTCCAGCCTCGAGTGAACCACCGGCTCTGTCGTAGTTGGGAGTCTCTATAGTCTAAATCGTTATTTCCCAAGTGAATAGAAACGTCGGTAAGAAGCACGTAGCATTTAGTCGAGCGCTGATACCAGCTAAACATGGAATTGATAGCTTCGCTCAGTTCAGCGCTGCTTGACTTGTCGATGCAGCAAGTATCAACCCAGAAATATTGCAATCCGTCCTTTTTCGCCTGGTCGCCGCAGAAGAGGAGTTTGTCGAAGGCCGGACCGCCGGGGATAGATTTAGGTGTTGTACAATTGATGACGTCTTGAAACGTGGCCTCGTGATGACTCCGCCAAGTGTGGGACAAGGTTGCGTAATTGGGCACGTCGCGCTCTACAAAGTAGATCAAGCTGAAGCTTCCATCGTCGTTTATTCGCAAAAAGCGCATTTTCTGATTTGATTTGATTTATCAAGTTTCGAGGGCAATGATAGGACTACTCGAAGGTTGGTACACGAGGTCAAGCTCTGACTCATGTACTTTCTCCCATGAGATACAGGCTGTTTATGTGGGCAAAAACTCGAGCAGTTACGGCGGGATTGGGGCGTTAGGCAGCCACCAACGTACTTGCAATGGAAAGAGGCAACAGAGCCGTTCAAACTGACAGCTTCGGGATAATTTTCCGACACACTTGGCGCCTCGTTCGGCTATCCATACATGTCTTTATGATTCATTGCTGTTGCACCTCGTATCGCATCGGCACTTGTTGCAATGCGAGCCGCCATGAACCCCCTTCCATGTGCGGGTTTGTAGGGTGAGCCACCGCAAAGACTTAATTTGTATCGAAAAAGGATGGTTTGTATGGAACCACATAGATATGCGTTACAAACCCGCTCATGGGAGGAGGGTGTAGACCAAACCATACTGTTGCTCCGGGGTCGAGGAAACAGTATATGAATGGGCGGTAGGGCTTCAGAACTGAATGGTTCTGGCTGCTTAGCGGGGAACGGACCTCCCACCCACCAATCCGGGGCGACCGTCGATTGCTCAGCCGACGAGCTGTCTGCTCCCCCACACAAATTCCCGCCTCTATTCTCCCAATCCTGGAGTTCGTTATAGACTGTTGAAAAAGTTTAGAGGAAGCTATCCGTACTAAAAAGTGAGCAGGTTAAGGCTAGACAAGCTGTCTAAAAAGGGTTATGGTCGAGGCTTACAACTTCCTATCGAGCTTCCTCCTATACAATCTGAGGTCGTGGGTGCCGAATTTATCGCGCGCTTCTCAGTGTAGCGCCGGCACGCACGCACCCGATCACCCCGCACCCGCGAAGTCCACTTCCCAAAGCACGAGAGATAGTAGGATGTTCTCGCAAGTTGTAGATATATGCAAATAGTTTGACAACAAACAATCCTGGTAATAATATCATTTCGATACAGTTTTGCAGCTTCAGAAGTAGTAGGTGCGAGTTTCTTGAAGGTGGCGCCACGCCGGTCGGGACGTTCCGTGATTGACGGCCACAGGAGCTTGTTTCCACAATTTCAACGCGATTAGATATTGATAGCTTCTTTTTGCCTCATCCATCTCCACGCCATCCCAAATTAGTACCTCCATGATCATGAAAGTGTTCGAAGCCCTCAACAAGGTTAGCTTACACCCTCTCTTCTGACAATTCTAACTAGTTGTGTATCTTCAGCTGGTCTCAACCACACAAGCAACATCTCACTCCTTCAACCCGCTCTCGCTCCTGCCCGGGCTGTTCACCCTGACCCCTCTCACGACTATCGCCCAGCGCACCGCCCTGCGTGGCACCTCTTCACTTGACCCTCTCGTTCTCGCTCCCGGCCTGCATCTCCAGCCCACAGCCAATGACCTCCACAAGGGAGAGTACCCAGCTTGTGCCGCCCTCACATCAGGCTACGTCTTCCGCGTCGAGAACCCAGCGACCGTATATTTCCTCCAGTGCGTCGGCCGCACAGGCTGCCTAACTGATCTTAAGGTTTCGGCCCAGGCTTCGTTGTCGCGCTACTTGCCGAGCCGTGATGAGGCGCTGGCATCAGTTGGCTACTACGCCGCAGTTGGTTGTGGTCTCTTCGCTGCTCAGAGAGTCTATGCACTTGACGATATCTGGGGCTTGTTCTTTATCTCTAACCTGATGCTCACCCGCCTCATCAACTTTGTCGTGCTCCGTCGCCGCTCACAGCCAGGCTGGTTCGGTGCACCAGAACCAGGTGTCCAGGGCGACCTATTCATTCTCCTGTCGCAGGACCGCTGGGTGCGCATTCGCGGGCCAGTCGACGATCTCAAGGCCCTCACATCTGGGACGTGGTTAAGCGAGCCCACAACGCTCGACAGGTTCTTTGGCGCTGTAGCCAAGCTGCTCGTTTATGCGAACGTAGCTGTCGCGGGGAATGCGACCGACGCTGGCGTTTATACCATCGCGTCCATGTTGCTCGTCAATGGCGGGCTGATGGCGTTGGATAATCTTCGGATCCGGCGGTTAAATATGTATGGGAGGACGATGGAAGTTGTGGGTGAGCCGAAGAGGTACTCCAGGAGGAGAACTTTAGCGGAGCAGTTGATTAAAGAGTCGGGGAGGGATGATTGGGCCGTAGCGATGGGCTTGATTGTTAAGGATAAAGCGTCGACGGAGAAGGACGAGGGGACGAGGGTGATTATGTGAAGTTATTCTGCTGAAGTCAGGTTACAGAGTAGGGTGTTGACCCGAGAAACGCGTCAGAATGAGATTGCAATGAGTAAATTGTATCGCATGGTTAGAGCTGATTGATGGTGGAGGGCATGGAGGAGTCAATTAGGTAGTGAGAGACGACCTAGGTAGATTGAGGTGTAAGGTATCTAGAGCGAGAGAGAGATCAGAGGTAAATATATAGTAGCTAAAAGAGCGCTAGTCCTAAACAGGAGAAGGGTAAGAGGTGAAAGACCCACATTAACCCGCGTAGTGTCACGTGAACCAGTTTCACGTGCGACAAATTGAACCAGGTTATAGCTTGTTAAAGATTACCGCATTACTATTGTTTATCTATTATGTGCAAAAATTAGGAAATTTCTTAGCGTTCCTTAGATCTTTTTTTTCCTTACTAAAATTACATAGGAGATTATAATCTTAACAGAATTTCTAATATATTAATAAATCCTTCTTAAATATTGTTAGTAAGTTAAAGCCTTAAGTTTATATAGAGATACTGCTTTTAGCTTAATTTTTAAAGTAACAGGACAATAATAGGCCTAAAATAGAAGGCTAGAGCAGCTCTAGCTACCTAGACATGTTAAATTAACCTTAGTAGTAACCTACTAGCCTATTCTACGCGTGTAAGGGCACAGGGCCTATTAAGTAAGCGTAAGGAGACTGCTAGTAGTACTAAACTAAAGTTAGCACATTATAAGTTAACTTAATAGTAAAGGCAAAGTAAGAAAAGCTGTCACGATTGTGCACAAGTAAGGTTATAGAGCTTCACAGAGGTCTAGTTTAATTACTACGTAAGGTATTATAGTAGGTACAAGATGTTATGTAAGGAACAGAAAAGTTTAAAAGAAAATTAGTAATTAAATACTTAGCTTAAAAGTCTAAGCGCTTTAAGTATAAATTAAGCCTATTCTAAGTTTAGTTAGTGTTAAAGTAGTTTATGCTTAAGTTTATATCTATGTTATGTTATATTTATGTTAGACATGTACTAATAATACTCTAGTACACATCTAATACAGTTATGTCTAGGATCTAGGGAGGATACTGTAACAGTACCTCTTTCTTTTATTAAAAAAAGAATTCTTTACATTAGTAGTTCTAGCATTAAGTTGTCTTTATTAAGGTATAAGTTTAGTTTAGATAAGTATTAGGCATAAAATTAAGTTACTATAAAGTTTTTTTATAAAGCTTTTATAAGTTTTTATAACAGTTTATTATATCTAGTTTATTTTATAAAGTATTTATAAATATATTTTTTTTTATTAAACTAAATTTATTTAATGTTTTTTATAACATATTTTAGTTTATTATTTATAATAATAAGTTTAAGTAGTAGGTTTAGCTGTCTAAGTAGATAGTTAGATTTAAAGGCTACTTAGCGCAGTAATAATACATAGAACATAGGGTGTATCTTTATACTATTAAGTAGGATTAATTAGTAAGTATGTAATAAGACTATATAAGCTACTATAAAAAGGCTAAAGTTCTTCTAATTAAGTTTTTTTAATTATTAGTTTATTTAGATATTTCTAGCATTTAGCTAGACCTTCTTACTAGCTGCATACGCAGGGGTAGAGGTTTAAAATTAGTTTATGTACTCTTATTAAAAAGCTTAAGCCTATGTAAGCTTTTTATAAATATATTTAAATATATTTTAAATTTTATTAATAAGTTTATTTATATTTATTACTTATATAAATTAATAAGTTAGTTAAGGGGTATTTAAAAGTAGTATCTATAGTTTACTAAAAATAAGAATACTTATGTTAATTTAAATATTATGTTATTAGCTTTAAACTATGCTATAGCTAACTATTTTACCTAGTTATCTTACTAGTAGTTTATGTACACTTATAAAACTTATTTTATTATTGTGTTTATATTCTTAGTTTAGCTATTAGTCTCTAGGTAAAAAGCTATAGATAAATAAAAAATAATTTAGAGCTGTTTATAAAGTTTATTCTAGAAGGCTAAAACAAACTATGTACCTCTGTCTAATATAATTATGTTAGGCAGGCTATAGTAAACTTATATGTATTAGTAGAATAACTAGGCTATATTAGAGGCAGTTATAAAAAAATATAGTATTAAGTGTTAATACTTAGTTAAGTAATTAATAACTACTATAATATTTATATACTTTTTAAATAAAAGTAAGTTTATAATAAAATTAATTAATATATTTTTTTAAGCTTATTTAAGAATTAGAAGTAGTTTAAGTAAGCTATTATACTTTTTTTAAAAGGCTTTTACTTTACAGTAAGTATAGCAACATAATATGTATTAGCGTACAGTATAGAACATGCGGGGCTAGTAGTACTCTCTTTGTAGTAGGTTAAGAGTCTTTCCTCTGCCTAAGTATTTTTTAATAGGTAAGTTATGTATAATTTAAAGTAGTTTAATTCTTAGTTTATTAGAATTAAAAATTATAAGTTAGTTATAGTAATATAGCTTACTATTTTAGTTTTTATAGTTAGCTAGTGTTACTTTTTTTAACTAACTAGTACTATTTTAAAGTAAGTCTAAAGTTTCTTAGATAAATTTATTATTTAAATACTTATTAGTAATAATTTAATTAATTATTTAATCTATTTTATTTAAGTTAAAGTTTAAAAATAGCTTAAGTTAAAGTAAAGTTTAGTATTAAGCTTTTTACACTTTTTTTTAAGTAGAGATATTTTAGAATTACTTTATAAAAGCATCTAGTTTCTCTTTATTTTAACTAAAATAATAAGTAATCTTAAAATTAAAATAAAATAAGTATTTAAACTAATAAGCTTATTAGTAGCTAAGTTATTTTATAGTTGCAAAGTACTATAAGTTCTTATAGTTAAATAGGACCTATATTAGATGCGCTACACTTTTTAGTTTAGGTTGCTATTATTTAAAGCAGTATACTATAGTAAGTAATTTTTTATTATAAATTTTATAATTACTTTCTACAGGACTTATTTTTTTTAAAAAGTATGTAATAGGCTTAATAGTCCTATCTAGCTTAGTTTAGAAGAGAACTTCTACTACTACATAGTCTAAGGCATTAGCTTTTATAAGTATTAGTAGTTTAAAGTTAAAGTAGTAAAGTATTAAAGCTTTAGTAAAAGCTTTTTTTAGCTAGTTAAAAAACTATTAGTAATTTAAGTTAAAGTTAAATTAAACTTTTTTTTTAGTAAGTGTAATTATAAGGCTTTCTAGCTATAAAAAGTTATTAATAAATTATTAGTAAAAGTTAGTAAATTTTATAAAGGCTTAAATATTTTTTATATTTTTTAGGTATTACTAATCTAGCATAGTCTAAACTTTAATAGGGTCTATTTAGATGCTATTTATAAAGATTATATATTTTAAATACATAACCTTTAATTAGTAGAACTTGCATTTGTCTATGTTAAGTTATAGACCTGCTTCTTCTATAGCCTTTAGCACTAGGCGTACATGCTGTTTATGCTTTAAAAGGCTATTACTATAGATTAGAATATTATTAATATATATAGTGTAGAACATGTCTAGGTAGAGTTAAAGCAAGTTGTTTATAAAATATTAAAAAGTACTAGGCATATTAGCTAAGCTAAAGAGCATTACTAAGTACTTAAATAGTTTATATTAGGTCTAAAACACTATTAGCTACTTATTACCCTTTACTATTTTTAGCTTATTAAAAGCAGTAATAATATTTAACTTTATAAAATACTTTACTTTACTTAGTTAGCTTAAAGTTTTTTATAAAAAAAAAATTAAGTATTAGTTCTTAATAGTAATAGTGTTTAGTCTTTAGTAGTTAATGTAAAATTAAAGCCTACCTCTAGGTTTTTTTATAAATAGTATAAGTAACACTACTAGTAAAAAGCTAGCTTAAATAAACTTTTTTTTTAGGTTTTTATTAAGGTATTTTTAAAGCACTTTTAATTTATTTAGCAATATTTTATATAGTAGCTTATAACTAGGTTATTTACTAGGCTTAAAAGTTATCTAGTAATTATATAAACATTATATTAAAAGCTTATTAAACTTATTTTAAAAAAAAATATGTAACAAGTTATAGTAGTCTTAAAAGACTATTATTTTTAAGTTAGTGTATTTTTAAAAAGCTAAAGCTTAGTCTATATTAGAAATTATAACTATGTAGATTTTATAATCTAGTTATTAAGCTAGAGTTATAAATAAGGCAGGTTTTATATAGCAGATATTTATCTGCTGTTTAAGTCCTAGTTTATGTTTAAATTAAGTAAGTAAAGGTTTTTTAAAGGCTTGTTTTTTTTAAGTTTAAGTAGTTATTAAATTATTTTACATAGCCTATTTTAGTAAAAGGCCTAGCTTATTAGTGTTACTTAAGTAGTTTTTTTTTAAGTTATTAAAAAGTAAGTCTAAAAACTTTTTATATTAAGTGCTATTTAAGTATTATTTAAGTGTAAGCATAAGTATACATTTTAGCATTAAAAAAAGTTAAAGTTTAGAACTTACTTTTAGTAATTAAAGGCAACCTTATGCTAATATAGCTATAGTTGTTTTAGAATTAGGTTATAACATTTTATATTTATTACATAGAGCTTAATTTGCTTCTTATAGTGTTAGTAGGTAATTATAATAGTTATAGTATAAAAAATAAAACTTTTTTTAAGTTATTTTTTATTAAATCTAGTTAGGTAAATTATTTAAGTAAGTAGTGTTAATTAAAGATTTAGTTTACACGCTAGTTCTTTATTAATATAACCTATGCTATTTACTTTTAAGTTAATAAAAGCTTATATTAAAACTAATATAGTTTTTTATTATAAACATATAAAAATATTAACTTAGTACTTTTAGTTATTAGTAGAGGACTTAGCTTATAGGTTAGTAGAGATCTAGTGTTAAATTAGTTCTAGAGGGTAACTTAGCCCTAAAACAAGCCTTTTTACAGGCTCCTACTACTATAGCTGCAGCTACATTAAGAGTAGTAAAAAAAATTAAGGCTTAAATATAAGTTAAAGCTTTTATAAAAATAAGATTAAAATAGTAAAAATCTTTAATAAGTGCTAGCAGCACTACTTACATAAACTTAAAAAAAAGGAATAAAGTAGTTTTAAAAAATATAACTATACTTACTATACTTAAAGTATTAACTTTTTTTTTTATAATTTTTATGCTTTTTAGAACTAACTAAAGCATAATTTAAATTAATTTTTATTATATTAAGGTCTTTATTTATAACTGCGCTAGTTTAAGGGTGTATTAGAGCTTATATAGAGAGGAACCTTATGTTA